ATATATATATATATATATATATATATATATATATGGGAAATACAAGTCTATTTATTTTCCTTAATGACTATAATGAAGGGATGAAAGAATACTTAGATATTTACAGAAGACACAAACACTGAGTTAGATATTGCATATGGTAGAAAATGAGAAAAAGTCAAAATGTTGTTAATGAGTTAGAGAAGGAGCCTGGAAAAAGCAGAATGAAATTCAATATGTGAAAATTCTCCACTTAGGAAACAAAAATATGGTAATGTAGAGGATGAGTAAATAAATAATGGTTTATTTGCTAAAAGAGTTTGTGAAAAAAAATCTTGAAAGTAAGTAGACTGCAAACTGAATATGAATCAGTTGTATGATATGATTATTAAAAAAACAAATGCAATTTCAGAAATTCTCAACAAAAGTAGTTTAAATTAAATTAATTGTTCCATCAAATTATCCATTGCTTAACACCAACTGAAGTAGTTGTATCCAGACCTGGGTATGGCATCTTAACAAAAATTCTGATGTTCAGTTTTTCTAAATTTTCTTAAGATGCTATACCCTGGACCCTACTTGAGTTGGTGTTAAGCAACGGAGAATTTGACAGAACAATTAATTTAATTTAAACTAATCTCAACTACCTTTGAACATCAGGTTCAAAGAAAGGCTGAAGATGACATGAGAAGATGGAAGGATTTGTACTAGTTCAAACTGCAGATATAATGTTTTTATCAACTTATCCAAGTTTATCCAAATTATCAAAAAAATCAGTTTTTTCAAGTTTATAATTTATTTTTTTCCTGTCGGCTCTCCTTCAGGGTCAGGCTTTTGATAGCCCACTAAAAAGAAAAGAAGTTTTTCCCTGGGTTCCTTTTAGAAAGTTTATTGGAGAGACTAGGTTCAAGTTACAGAAATTTCAGCAAATGCATTACTTTCACTTTTAGAACCCAGTTTATCCTTCAACTAGTTAAGACAGCAATCCTCCCACACCATCTAAAAGCCTGGTGAATTATGTGAACTAATGAGGAAACTGCTCTCTTCCCTAGTAAGAGAGAAATGTCCAGGTGGCCAAGGTATAAATTACTAGGGGAAAAAATTGCTTTCAAAAGTATTTCAAAGCAAACAAGTTTGATTAAAAAATCATGGAATCATGGTAATGTTCTTCTTTATCAATAAGGAGAGATGGTTGAGATGAATGGGTAATCTTTGGACAGAGTCTTACTGGACAATCCTCTCTCCTATGATCTAGAATTTCTTTGACTTTATGCACTGCCATTAAATCACAAGATATCAGAGAAGAATAGAGAACTTGGAAGTTGCGTCAAGAGAGGATTAAGCCTAGAATCATTGCATGTCTACAAATACTCTGAGTCCAACCTCCCTTGAATTCTCTGAACTCTTATCTGGTGCCAATTTAGTGCTGATGGTTATTGACTAGATTCTTGTGCATAGGCATGAACAATTTTCTGAACTGCAACTTATGTGTGATCCTGATTCTTCGCGCTTACATAAGAAGGATTTCTTCACATATGAGCCTTTGTGGGTAGTGACAAGTAAGCAACTGACTTAGAGTGATGGGAAGACATGCCAAGAAAATACTAAGCTGGTGTCCCCTGTGCAGATCCTCAGGGAAGAAAAAACTCAAAGCATTATTAAGAGAAAAGTTTAAGTCCAACACTTTGTGAATGAGATTTTTAAAAAGTTGCTTTTAAAGGAGGGAAAACATTGAGAAATTGCCCAAAAGTTTTGGAATAGCATCTCTGGCTAAAGGACACAAAAGAATACCAATTGGAAGGTTATCTTTCTTAAAGACATTTGAGAAGGAGTCAAAGTAGGCTGGGTTGTCCACAATAAACCACTAGTGTAGCTGAACACATCTATTCTTATATTTTTAAAAAATGGATAAAATGGCTGTTTAACTTTTTCCCCTTTCTTTTTTTAGATCTGAGGAATGGAAAAAAGTGAGCAAATCAGAGCGAACAAGATTAGGTCTCACCCTTGAAAATAACGGAGAATTTTGGTGAGCTCAGTTAATCAATGTCCATGTCATATTTAGTTTTGCTTTCAATAATCCTTAATAGTGTTGTCTTCTCTGCACAAGAAACTATTTTTTCCTGTTACAAATTCCTATCATTCATCCATTTTCTCTTCTATGCCATTCAACTTCTAATTGCACAGAGCAGTGAACATAGGAAGAACTAAACAGAAAATGCAAAACTTCAACACTCAACAGCATGCCTTATAATGACCAACTTGAAACTCATAACATCCCTTGAATGTTTTCTTCCCAAATCCATCTTTTAATTTTGTTATAGAAATACATCTGGTCGGAGGTAATTCAGAAGAAGCTACTTCATAAAAGTGGGACACCATTCTTGAGAAGAACCTGCTATGAGATTCCTTTGGAGATAGCATCTTCATCAAGATCTCCCCCAGATCTTACCAGATGGAGAGATTTGATGGAGAATAGACAACCTTAAAGATAGATAGACCTTGAGTCATTTAGGGTTGTATAATTTAGTTGTGTAGGAAAAAATAAAATGACTACTCATGGCAGAGAATCCTAGCCTTTGAGTAGCAAACAGATGACCCTTTGGTATTTTGTTTACCCTGTAGTAGTTGATCAACCTAACATACAACTACAGGTAGTCCTTGACTTACAACAGTTCATTTAGTGACTGCTCAATGTTACAACAGCACTGAAAAAGTGACTTATGACTTTTTCATAGTTGCAATCTTTGCAGCATCCCCATGATCATGGGATCAAAATTCAGATGCTTGGCAACTGGTTCATATTTATGACCGTTGCTGTGTCCCTGTGTCAAATGATCACCTTTTGCAACCTTTTGACAAGCAAAGTCAATGGGGAAGCCAGATTCACTTAACAACCAGGTTACTAACTTATCAATTTCACTAATTCACTTAACAACAATGGTAAGAAAAGTCATAAAATGGGACAAAACTCACTAACAGATATCTCACTTAACACTACTAATTTTGACCGTGGTCATAAGTTGAGGACTACCTGTAGAACATTAACCCGGTCAGATGTATAAAACCACGTCGGTCTATTCTTTAACTTTAGTCAATGACCAATATTTCATTTAGAAAAGCATAAAGGTTAAAACTTGCTAGCTAAAATAAAGCCAAATATTATAATAGCACCAGTGACTATTAAAATATGACCACTAATTATTGTAAGAAGTGACATTCAGCAAACCTGATGGATCTCTGGTTGCTCTTTAATAATTCATATGTACATCTGCAGGGATTCCAAAGAATTTAAGCTCCATTCCTCCAAACCGTCAGAAAAAGAATTGTAAGGATTGATGGAAAAAGGATGAAAAATAATTTTAGGTTTGTTTTTCCAGCCTCAGCTGATTTCAGGTCGTGGACTATACATTTGGGAAGGGTTATATTTTTTTATGGAAAAGAAACATTCTCTATTCACTCACCCACTATTAATTAAATAATGTGCTTAGGGATTTTTTTTCTTTTTTAATGCACTATGGTTCAGGATGACATTTGAAGACTGGTGCAAAAACTTCACTGATGTGGACATTTGTCGGATTGTGAACACCTCTTTCTTCAGTATCCATAAGACCTGGGAAAAGAAAATGATGCGTGGACAGTGGACAAAGAATCCAAATGCCATGTTAAATCGCTCTGGAGGGTGTTTAAACAACGAAGCCACTTTTCTCCAAAACCCTCAGGTTTTCATAATAATTTACTTTTGATGCATACATAATTTGGTTCTTCTGTGGGCATAAACCTAAACCTAAACATATTTGTTGTTCCAGTATTTGAGGGGCTCCTACAAAGACAAAGGAGTCAAACTATTTTCCAAAGCACCAAAAGCCAAGAGAAGAAACAATGGTTGGAAATTAACCAAGGAGAGAAGCAGTTTAGAACTAAGGAGTAATTTCCTAACAGTGAGAGCAATTAACCAATGGAACAGCTCACCTTCAGAAGTTGTGGGTTCTCCATCACTGAAGGCTTTCCAAAAGAGACTGGACAACCATTTGGCTGAAGTGATATAGGGTCTCCTGCTCAAACAGGATGTTGGACTAGAAGACTTCTGAGTTTCCTTCCAACTATGTTCTATGATCTACTTTATCTTGCATTTTGCATTTTTATCTTCAGCATCTCTCCAATGCTGAAAGATTTACAAAATAGTTCTCAATTTAACAGCTATTTGTTAGAGATCGTTTAAAGTTACAATGACACTGAAAAAAGCAATTGGCCGCCAGTCCCTACATGTAACCACTCTTGCAGGATCCTCACAGCCACGAATAAAAATTCAAACAATTAATAACCGGCATCCATTAATGATGGTTGCAGCATCCCAGGATCATATGATCTCTACTTGCAATCTTTCTGGCGGGCTTCTGACAAGCAAAATTTGGGGGGGGGGGGGGGTAGATTTACTTAATGACTATGGTTTCACTTAACAACTGCAATGGTTTGCTTAACAACTATGGCAGAAAAGTCTTAAGATCAGGCGTAACTTATTTAACAATCACCTTGCTTAGCAATGGAAATTCTGGTCTTAGTTGTGATTGTAACTCCAGGTTTATGTCAACATCCAGCTCAAGAATCCAAATAAAACTCCAGGTACATTCATTTCTGAAAATCTTAATTCTTTATTGAATACCTGCATGGTATGGTTCCCAAACACCAGTTCATAGAATTAAATAATAATAATTTGCCCAGCCAAACCCCCAAACTCTCAGGTTGTCCATGTAAACACCTGTTCATTTTGTTATAGGAAGCATTTGCTTCAACTCCGCACTTGCTACTTGAAAAGGTTTCAGGCTCTCCCAGTCTTCAGCAGAGTCGTGGAGGTTTTGTTTCTCTACCTAACCTGTTTTAATCACACCTAGTTCTCCTTTTCTCTCTTTTTCTCTTTTCTCTATTTTTGTCCTCTTTGTTGGTCTTCTAGTCCAGTCACTTGTTCAAGGCAGGAGTCCTTATACTCTATACAACATACAAAGGGTTGTCCAATCTACTCTTGGAAACCTCCAGTGATGGAGCATCCAAAGCCTTAGGAGGCAACATTTAAACTGATTATTTCTCCAGATACTGTACATATTTCTAAAACTATTTCAGTATTTTATTTTCTGCAGTGATCTGCATTGTGACATTTTGAGAAACTATACAGTCTGGTGACTAAATTCCATCAGAAATTTTGATATCAAAATGGCCAAAGATCAGATTCACAGCCAATTGTCTTTATTTGAAAGTGGTCACATGCAGTTTTTATCCCTCAACTATCCCAAGATAAACAGCATCATTTCAGCGCCTTAAGGTTTAAAAAGAATAAAACTGACACGGAAGACTAATCCTTGAGTATCATTCTACATGTTGAACTTCGATCTAGCTCCTATTCATTGCCCTATGTCACTACATTTGTCTACATAACAACCCTGGAGCTTGCCTGGTTACATCTTTTTGGCATTCCAACTTCCAACATTGGCCAATCAGATATCTTCCAAGGTTCCATCAATAAGGCTGATAAGAATTCCCATAACTCAGAATTAATCTCCAGGAGGTTTAGTATTTTCCAAGTATTTACTTCAACATCCAAAGAGCCTTCAAACTGGGAGATTATGGCATTGAGCTTCAAAACATCTGGACTGTACTTAGTTGGGGAAAGTAGCATTAACTGCCATGTGAGGTTGCTATATGCAGGCACATATATAGCACTGGAAAGATCTAAGATGTCAGTCAGCCTGCACAAGGCCTTAGTAACAGTTGCTTCCCAACCCTTTGATTGTCTGTTTTCATAATCTACACTTTCATAGCAGTTTTGTCTGTACTTCTTTTTTTCAGTATATTTTTGATGTTACGAAGGTGGAAGACAAAGTCTTGATCTCTCTCCAGCAGAAGGACCAGCGGATTCACCGGAAAGAAGGGGCAGGAGATAATCTTGTTATAGGCTTTGAAATTTTCAAGGTAGGTCTCCATCCACCTCTACTCAAGACAATTGCTTTGAAGAATTGATGTAGCATATCTCTTATATTTTTCTTATTGTTATTCCATAAGCTCTATCTTCATGTACAGGTAGACCTCACTTAACTAGCACCTGTTCAGCAACTGAAATTACAACAGTACTGAACAAATGGGATTCACAAGTGATCCATGAAATTCCAGCTGTTACAGTGTCCCCACAATCACATTTTTGTAGCTTGGGGTTTTTGGCAATCAATGCGCAATTACAATGGTTATTGTATTTCTCAGTGATATGATTACCAATTACAACCTTCACTGCTGGCTTCCAGCAGGCAAAGTAAATGGGAAAACTGGCAGGAAATTGTAAGTCGTGGTCATGAGATCTCATGCTTTATGACCATACAGGATTTGCTTAACAAAGCAACCAGAACTGTCATTATAAATCATATGATTTTCTGCTCATATGTGACATAGTTGCCAGTCCCAATTATCATAGCTAAACAAGGGTGACCTATAAGATTGTTTTCACATAGATTTGCATCCCGTTTTGGTCACTTCAGTATAAAAAAGGTGTTGAGACTAGAAAGAAAACCAAAAAGAGCAACAAAAATGATTAGGGGGCTCGAAGCTGAAACATGAAAAACAGTTGCAGGAATTAGGTATGTCCAGTCTATGAAAAGTAGGACAACGGGTGATATGAAAGCAATGTTCCAATATTCGAGGGGCTACCACAGAGAAGAGGGGGTCAACTTATTTTCCAAAGCACGTGAAGGCAGGACAAGAAGCAATGGATGGAAAATAGTCAAGGAGAGAAGCAACCTAGAACTAAGGATAAATTTTCTGACAGTGAGAACAATTAACCAGTGGAAGGGCTTGGCTCCAGAAGGTGTGGATGCTCTAACACTGAAAGTTTTTAAGAAGAGATTAGATGTTGGTAGAATTACCTGAGAACGCCCTTTCTATATACGCAGCAAGAGCGGGATATGACTCCTCCTACTGACATCATAGAGCTGGGTCTGCCACCATAAAAACCATCAGTTTTGGCTGCTCGCCATCTTTTAGGTGAAGATTCTCATAACGTGTCTCTGCAAGATAAACAAGTAAACATAACAAAACACTCCCTCCCAGACGAACTAGGGTGGGGCTGGACTCTCTTGCAGCATATATAGAAAGGGCGTTCTCAGGTAATTCTACCAATGCCCATTCTCATACACGCTGCTAAGACAGCCCAGGAATGGGACATACCAAAGCCTGCATGCCATGGGAGGGTCAACGTCTGGGTAGGTCACTCCGACTGTGGAACCACCTGTTGAAGCACTCTCCTTCTGAATGAGGCATCCGCCAAAGCAAAGGAGTCCAACATATAATGTCGTATAAACGGTGATGGAGACGCCCAGGTAGCAGCCCTGCAAATCTTTCCAGCAAAGCCTGAGAAGACTAGGCAGCTGAAGTAGCCACACTCCTAGTGGAATGAGCCATGACGTTCATAGGAACTGGCAGGGACAAAACTTGGTAGGACTTGAGATGCAAGTCCGAACCCACCTCCCAATCATAGAAGGAGCCCAAGCAGGTGGGATGAAATGACACAAACATAGCCTCCGATCTCCTAAATTCAGCAGTCCTCTTGATATAGATCTTGAGGGCCCGCCTTATGGCAACTGTGCTCTAACTCATGTTGTGGTCCTGGGCAGAAATTTGGCAAAACAACCTTTTGCACCTAGTGAAACCAGGAGTTTATCTTAGGAACAAAGAAATGTTTCAGGACCAAGAAAATAGCCCTGAGTTCAAGCCAATTTATAGGGCAAGCTCTATCTCCCTGAGACCAGCATTCTTGAGCAATCTGGCCCTCTAGATGAGCCCAGCATTGAAGACTGGCATCCGTAGTGAGCAGGACCCTGTCTGGCTCCTTGAAGGAGAGGCCCTGCCATACTGCCTGAGATTGCCACCACCTGAATGAACAAAGGACCTGCTGTAGAACCTGCACTTTGATGGCAATTGGCTGGTGCCTGCCCATTGGAATGGCAGCAGGAACCACTGGAGCGCACAGGCATGAAGGCGGGCCCACAGGACAATGCCAATGCAGGAGATCATCTTCCCCAGGAGCTGAGACAGGAGAGATGGGAGTGATGCGCTGGCATCAGATCTGGATGACAAGGGCATTGAAGCTCTTCCTGTGGTCTGGAGAGAGAAAAACTTAGCAATGGGAAGTATCGATGATCGCCTTGAGATGCAACAGCCTGGTCATAGGGGAGAAGTGGTTTTTCTTTAGGTTGATCAAGAAGCTGTGGTCTCACAGGCACTGTAGTGTGATGCAGAGGTCTCGATGAGCAGATCTGACCGACTGCAACTGGATCAGGATGTCGTCCAGATAACACTGGACCCTCACCGAATAGACCTCAGCGAAGCTGCCAGAGCTGCCAGCACTTTTGTAAAGACCCTGGGTGCTGATGAAAGACCAAAGGGAAGGGCCCAGTACTGGAAATGGATATTCTGGTAACAGAAACGGAGAAACTTGACAATGATGAGGCCAGATAGGAATATGGAGGTAAGCCTCCGTGAGATCAATGGAGGAAAGGAGGTCGCCCTCTTGAAGGCTCTCTAAAATGGAATGAAGAGTTTGCATTTTAAAATGCATGTATGGAATAAATTTGTTTAGGAGTTTCAGATCAAGTATGGCCCTCCATCCCCCAGAGGCCTTCAGGCTCACAAAGAGGCAAGAGTAGAAACCCAGTCCTCATTGCTCCATTGGAACCGGCTCAATGGCCCAAATATCGACCAGATGTTTAATGGCTGATTCCATGAGGGCCTGTCTAGAGCTGTCCATCGACGTAGGACATTGAACAAAAAATTGTGCGGGTGGAGACACAAACTCAAGCTGCAGACCAAATCTCACTGTTTTAAGTACCCAGGTGTCTGATGTCGACTCCTCCCATCTAGAAGCAAAGAAAGCCAAACGGCCTCTGATGTGGGGTCCAACCGGGTCTTTACTTCAAGCGTCGAAACGAATAACCTCCTCCCCACTCGAAAGGGCCATTTACCAGGGGCCTGCTGCTGCCTGCCTGAAGCTTCAGGATGTTGTTCTTGGTGATGCGGGAAAGATCTCTGGCCGCGATGCGGATTCAGACCTGAAGGAAGGGGGCTGGTAGTATGGACTGGGACGATAGTCCGATCTCTTCCCTGCTGTAGATAGAATCTTGCACTTGTCCTTGGTTTTGACCAAGTAAGTCTCCAGAGCGTCGCCGAACAGCTTTTCTCCAGAGCAAGGGGTTGATGCCAACTTCCATTTACGACGTGCATCCAACTGCCAATTCCACAGCCAAAGGAGCCATCTGGCCACTACAGAGGAAGCCATGGCCCTGGAGGCAAATTTGGCAGAATTCAAGGTCGCATCTGCTGTAAATTCCGCAGCAGCAATTATCTTGTTAAGATCCTGATGTGCCCTGAAATCAGTGGCCAGGAGCCTCTCTAGTAGTTGCCGGAGCCAGCGGAGTGAGGATCTTCTGAAAAATGAGGCTGCTGTAGATGCCCTGATAGCCCAAGCCGCAGCCTAGCGGGTGCACCTGAGAGTTTGCCAGACCTTCTATCTTCTGCCTTCAGCACATCCTCAGGTTCAGTGGGCGTGCCTGATGAGGAGAAGGTGGCAACCACTGGGGGACAATCAGGGCATTGGCTAAGGCCAGGCCCACATTGTAAAAACACCTATCACGCAAAGAAGGCCGAGGGCCAGACCCAGGGGAGGCTTCCTTAACTAAATCAAAGAATATAGTGGGGGAAGGGAGAATTTCAGCATGAACTACTGGTTTGGTGAACAGAGAATCACTGTGGCCTGTAGGGGCCGTCTGCATTCTGGGGCCACTTTGTCAGGCGTCAGTTGTGCTATAACCAAGGCTTTGTGCAAGAGAGGTTTGAAGAGGGAAGGTTTGAAAACCCAAGAAGAGGAAGGTTGATCAGCTCTAAACTCTTCCTCCTCAGACATATTGCGATCCACTATTTCCCCCTCTTCCTCTCAGAGTGAGAGGAACAGCTGTGATCAGAAGGGTTAGCATAATCTTCTTCTTCCTCTTCCCCCTCCCCCCCCCCATCTGAGTAAGCTGGCCGCTGACTTCTATAAGATGAAGAGGCCCCCTGGGATAAGGAAGAAAGCAGGGACTGCCCCCCTTGGGGTTACAGGAGTTGATGAAACCCCTCAGCTATGAGGGCAACAGCCACTATATCGCTGATGTCATCAGGCTTGTGCCCTGAGGAGGGATCCCCGGGAACAGCAGCAAGCCACAAAAGCAAAGGAAACGCTGCTGCAAGTACTCTTTAAAACTCTTTCCAACTCATTTTAAACTCATACAACCTTCCAGAGACAAAGAGCTAAGTCATGACCTGAGTCAAAAAGATGGGGGGCAGCCAAGGCTGATGGTTTTTATAGTGGCAGATCCAGCTCTATGATGTCAGGAGGAGGAGTCATATCCCATTCTTGGACTCTCTTAGCAGCGTGTATGAGAATGAACAGCTGTTTGTCTGGCATGGTATGTGGTCTCCTGCTCGAGCAGGGGATTGGACTAAGAGATATCTAAGGTGCCTCCCAACTTGAAATAATGTTTCTGTTATTTCTTGAACAGCAGTTCTTGAGTGCAGTTGAGTTTAACTGTTGGAACCCAGCACAGGAAAATAGCCTTTAACAAGCCAAGTCCTCTGTGAGTAAGAACATGTCATATCTCCATTGGTTTTCCAACCTTAGGTGGAAGATAACCGAGAATATCGCTTGCACCAGTTGAAAATACAAGAGAGGATAACTAACTTCACCTATCTGAACAATCGCACCGTGTACTTAAAAGTGTTTCTCAAGCAAGGCCGATACCTTTTGATCCCAACCACATTTTCTCCAAACACGGAAGGGGAATTTATTCTGAGGCTCTTCACAGATGTTCCATCAGCACTCAGGTACTACTTCAGCTTCTGACAACAGAGCTTTTTGTTTTCTCTTCCCCACTTTTTCTAGCCTTTGCTGAAATTTCCAAACATTTGATAAAGGAAGACTGACCCAATGCATGAAGGAAGCTATATAGTCATGGAATTAGGGTGAATAAGATGAACACTCCAGACCCTTACGTGGTGATTACATTTTGTGTCTGTGTGATGAAAACAATATTCACTGAGTTCCTGCAGTTTTGATTCACATAAGGGCATTGGTGCAGATTGCAAACTAATCAGTGGTAATTAGGTATACAGCTAGGTGATACTATGGAATGATGACCATTGTTCAAAATGCATTGAAATTAATCTTTCATACAGTATTTTGGTTTTAAATGTTATCATCATAAGTAGCTGTCTAATGGCTTACAGACAATATCTGGAGTGACTGATAAAGGCAAATATTTATAGCTCAGGGCTAAAATGAGGGGTCCTTAAGTGCTCTCTGACCTTGGTTGTTTTCTTGCATATGTTTCATCACCCAGCTAGGTAATATCATCAGTTCTAGTGCAAGTTCAGTGAGCACCAAAGATCCCTAATATCTGAAGTGACTCAAAACAATGAACTAAAACAAAACCACCATTATTATGCATCATTTAGCAAAATGTATTTTTAGCCCAGTATATATTAATTATATTAAGAATCCTGGATAATCCTTGGCTTGAACATGTTGTATGAACTAAGCTATAAATTTCTGATGGAATGTATATCTATCTATCTATTAATCCTTCTCTCCAACCTACATACCTATTTGACTTTGATATTTCAGGGAGCTGAAATTGAACAAACCCAGAATGTCTTGCCTGGATATCCTGCTGGGTGTCCCTAAGAGAATGTCCCTTGTTAAAGTCTATAGGGTAGAAGGACTCCAGAGTCATGGGGGTAAGTCCTGCCAAAATGTTATCCAAGCAATGAAACGTTGAGTCAAGCCAAAATTGAAAAATGCATTCCTTTGTCCATCCATGGTTCACTGAAAGAGTTATCACTTAGCTACACCCAGTGCAAAATTTTCAAAAAATTTCATTTAGAATTCTCTATGCCTGGAGTCACACTTACGATTTTTGATGTAATGCAGAAGAAGCATGTGGCCATTTTACTGGTTCAAAATAGAACATAGAAAAATATGATTGAAAGGGATCGTGTAGCTTTTCTAGTCCAACCCCCCTGCCTCTAGTAGGAAATCCTATGCCATTCTGGACAAATGACTCTTCTTGAAAACTTCATGAACCTGTAACTTCTGGAGGCAACCTGTTCCTCTGATTAGTTGTCCTCTCTGTCAGGAAATTCTGCCTTAGTTTCAGGTTGGCTCTCTCTTTAATCATCTTCCACCACCATTACTTCTTGTCTTGCCCTCAAGTGCTTTGGAGAATAGGTCAACCCCCATTTCTCTGTGACTGCTATTCAAGTACTGGAAGACTTCTATCATATCATCCTTAGACCTTCTCATTGTTAGACCAGACATACCTCCCTCCCTCCATCATATGGTTTAGCCTCCAGGCCCCTAATCATCTTGATTGGCCTTCTCTGCACTCTTTCTAGAGTCTCAACATCTTTTTGTATTGTGATGGCCAGAACGGGTTGCAATATTCCAAACTAATATAAATCCCTTTTGATTATTAAGCATTTGTCGATGCTGTTGTACATATCAAGCATCCACCGCTGGTTTTGCTAAATATGTGTTTTTGCTGATAAAACAGTAATTGATTTCTGCTTTCCTCCAGCTTAATCAAATCAGTATAGCCTACTAACACATGGGCAATGCAAAAGCCAATTTACTTGAAAGTCAACCAGTGCCCTCTGCTGTCTAAATACTGCTTTCAGATGCTTTTCTGCTTCTTTCCTTAACAACAGCAGCAAAAACCCATAAATCAAATTAAATTGTTTGCCTCTCAACCAGAATTAGTTTTTAGGTTAGCAAATGGATTACAGTGACATTTTCTCCATTATCTTCCTCTGGATCCTTTTAAAAGGAGAAAAAGAAAACTGGACCCAAGTGAAGACTGGTCTATCTGAATGCATTGATTAAAGACCAGCCTGTCCTAAAACCAGATTGTTCTCTTTGCAAGTATGTCTTCTTGTTTCAGCCAGACTGAAGTTTCTGTTGTACGTATTTTGCCCAGAGTTTGCTGATTGTGTTGAGGAAGCTGATTGGTCTATAGTTGGCAGGATCATCCTTTTCTCCTTTTCTATATATGGGGATAATGACTGCAAGCCCCCAATCCTTGTGGCCTTGGCAAGAGCAAGACCAGAGTTGGAGCCCACAAGTTTAGGCTGCTCCTAATGGTCTCTAAAGGGATTAGATCTTCTCCTGGGGTCTCCTTTATTCTTAGTTGAGCAATGAGATTCTTGCTTTCTGTCTGTACCTGAATGCACTGTTAGAGTTTGAGTGATCATAAGAGGAAAGATAAAAGGAAGGAACCGAAAGAGTACAAGAGTGTAATAACAAAAGGCAAAAGGTATGGGATATTGAAAAATATCAGTGTCAGTCTGTGCTCCATTCAAAATCCAAGAAAGAAATACTCAGACTCCAATGATTAGAGCAAAGTTTTTCTTTTACTGAAATTCAAAGTGGAAGCTACAGGTAGAATTCTGAATCTAAGGATTTAGGCGCGCAGATCACATATACAAAGGGATGGAATTGTTCCCACCCCCCAAAGTTCAAAAGATTCTTCCAATTAAAAGTTCTGAATATGATCATGTGGGCATCTTCAGGTGGTGATGAGGCCTCTGTCCATTGACCTTGACATATTTTGATAAAACTTCGCAGCTGCGCAAAGGAAAGGAGGCTAAGCAAGGAAATAGAAACTTAAGAGCAGGAATTTATACTCCCCCGACTCCTCATTTATACAACACAAGAATGTAACACCTCCAGCTCTCTTCCCAGAAATCCCCCCCCCCCCCCTGTTTACTCATGGCAGCTGAAAGATGCGAAGCAGTAGAAGAGTAGAAAAGATCTTGAAGGCTGACAGTCAGGCTCCAAGAACCAAGAATAACAGTTAGTTTCGAGTAGTTTCTATATTGCTATTTACCTGTAGACAGAATTTTGCCAGACTAAAGCAACTATCTGCATAACTACAAATATAATCTGTGAATTGCTGGGAGGGGGCTACCTTTGTCCTCTTCCTGCCTTCCAGACATTCCAAGCTCCATTGTCTCTTTGCCCTCTGAGAAGCAGACCCTCCTTCCTCAGAATCCAAACTATATTCCACCACAAAAAAAGGCCTTATGAACTGTGCACCTTTCATGTGCCTGAATCAGGTGGAGGGCCATCACAGATGAAGACAAGGGAGTTGTCAGGGCTAAAGGAATCTGGTGTCCTTTCATTGAAATACAAATGTAATTAAATTGTAGCTAAAGCAATTGAAGACAGTTAACAGTAACTCCTTACATATTTAACCATCTTCCCCATCTGTTGCATTAAAAATGAACATTTGGCAGAGTCTTGGGGAACCTCACAGTCAAGATTTCTAATAATTGGTTGCAGCTTTGGGACTCTGGGCTATTTTACTCCTAAATTAGTAAATTCTATAAACAACAGAAAGAACTGAGCCCTCTTCTATGTTACACTCATAGGACTTTTCCCAGCACCAGTTGTCTGAGTATCTCAGATGGGGCCTGTTATTCACGTGGCCCTTATTTGGCCTTATTCGGCAATTCCTGAATGCTAATTCAGTAGTCCTGAGGGCTACATCTAACTGTCATACTCAAAAATTATTGACAGCATGTCATGGAAAAGGGGTTCCCACTTGCAGCATTAATGTGTGGCTAGTCACAAAAGTGATTGAAGGTGATTATTACACATCTCATGGACTGCAAAAATAATAAAGAAACCAAACCTCACCAAAAATATCACTTGAAGTCAAGATCACCAAACAGAGGCTGTCCTCCTTTAGTTGTATCATGCAAAGTGACTCATTCAAAAAGTCAATCATACTGGGAGTGATCAATGGAAAAAGGAGAAGGGGCTGTCCTACTATCCATTGGCTGGACAGTACAAAGCAGTTTCCCCCAACATTTTAGGCACTTGAGATCCGTGGAGAAATGCTTTTCTGAAGACTGGAAGAGGCATGGTTACATATGCTGCCTACATCCTGCATGTGTGCAAATGGGTTTCATTCATTTGTGTGGCCTGGTTTCTGGCATGCCAGGACCAGTGCCGGTCCGTGGCCCAGGAGTTGGAAACCCCTGCTTTAAAGGATGACACTGGAATGACCATGGGAGATCTGAAGGAGGCAGTGTGAAGCAGAGGGGCCTGGAGAGTGCTGATTCAAGGGTCAGAGTGGCCAAAGGTTGGACATGACAGAATGGCTGACAACAATGACAGTCATAAAATGTGCTTTTTAGAAGATAAGCTAGTGAAGTTGCCTTCTTCTCAACTGCTCAGAACTTAAAAACTATAGAAAAAAAGAGTCAGGACCTCGATTATGACTCACAGCTTGACTCTTGGCCCCCACTTCTCCATGGATGCTCCAAATCTAGATAACAGATATTTAAGTTATCAGTATGTTCCATAGAGCTTCAGAATAACACAGTCCACCCTCAGCATATGGCAGCCACAAACATTTGTTTTATTGATCTGTTGGTGATGCCCTAAAATGCTGAGAAAGCATCTTACTTCTTTTCCTAGTTTCCTCAGGGAATGTCAGATGCTAAAAACATTCTGGAGAGAACCTCTAAAAATAGCAGTTTAAGCAGAAAAGCAGCTCAGTTTCTAAACCATTTTGTCGTTTGCTTATTTTGTTATTTAGGCACCTGACAACAGAAAGATGACGATTTATTTTTACTGTCCTATGGTATTCAACAAATTTGCAGCCTATTAAATTAAAGCTGGGAACTAATTGGACAATCTATGTTCTGGCGGTTGATATCTCAAAGAAGCAACTTGGCTGGTTTAAGACACAGCTTCATGCAGGATCACTACTGAATTAAGGGGAAATCTTATAATCAAATAGCTTGTTATAAATGCTCTTGAATCAACACTTCTGAGCTTGTTCTTACAGACCTGTTCTTTATATTTTTTTTCCCTTGATAGATTTTATTTTTAGACCGTTCAGAAACTGGTTGTTTCATTTTCTCCATTTTAGAACTCAGTGACTTTTTCAAGAATAGATAACAAATTCATAACCTAGATCAATGCCTCAAAATCAAGAGAGCAAATTTATTTCCAGTTATGCAGTTTATCTTCCTTGCCAGGCCTAATAAATCCAGAGTTTCTCATAGGATGGGGAACTCTCTATAATTCAGCACTGCATTAATGTTCTTAACTGTTTCTATTCCAAATTGTATTGTCATATTATATGTAATATTTTGAAACCAAAACAAGACCATAGTTGGACAAGACCAAACTGTATGTGCTAAAAAGCTTTGAGATTGTTCCAATATCCAATATTCCTTTTCAGACTAGGCCCTAGGAAATGCACTTTAACAAAGACAACAATAGGTAAACGAAACACAGCGGGTTCATCACAAATATATAATATATAATTAGTGGGCTTTCAAAAATTCAGTTAATAGCTAATTTTCAAATTGCCCCCATTAAAAATCAAATTGCCTCACATTGGGAACCACTAGTTTAGTCAATACATGCTTTATCTATTGCCAAGTAAGTATTATGGATAACTCATATGCAAAACACAACCTCTCAATCTCTTTTAAACAGCAATTGGAAATCAACCAATTCAAAGAATTGATGTAGGAGAAGAAATGGAAGCAGAGCCAGAAGACAGACTTAAGCAAGTAATTAGCCTAGAGTCGTTACATTCCCACAAATGGTCTAAGTCCAATCCCTCTTGAATTCTACTGACCATTATCTGGGGTGATTTTAATATTGAACTTTAGTTGACTAGATTCTTGCATATAGGCTTGAACAATGATTGTAGGAG